TGAAGGGAGATGTGGCGCTCACCTTGAGAACATTGTAGGCGTCCCCTTCACCGTCAGGAGAAATGGGTCCGTAGATGAATCCGTTTATAATGACGTCGTCGAGTTCCACACAAGGATTATCGTCTTCTTCCTCCAAATGATGCTCCCGGTAATTATAACCCCTGATCTCCTTTACCGGGAGCAAATTATACACCTGCGGGGACACGCCTCGATGTCAGTGACCACAGGCCCAATAATAAACCACCAGTGTGTGCCACCCTAGTGATCACAGAGAACTTTAAACTAACACACATGTGCGTGCAATCCCAGTGACCAAGGATGACCCTACAATAACAAACCCTACAGTAACAGAGCAGAATATCTGACTCCAGGGCTCAACACTGATTTTTCAATAATAACCCAGTGTGTGCTGACCAGTGCTCACCAGTGGCCCTCCAGTAATAAATCAGTTGTGTCCTCACAAGTGGCCCCAGAACTATAAACCACTGGGTGCAGCTATAGTTTTCATGAGGGCCCTACATAGATCAAGCAGTGGGCGCAGCCCCTGTGCTGACGAGGGACCCTACAATAACAGACAGACTACTCTGCCCTAGCTCTCACGAGTGATTCTCGGCACTTTCCAGACAAGACCAGCTCTTGCACCTGTTGATCACTGGGCCAGGCTGGCACTTACAGAGCTGGGCGAGAGCTCGGCTTCAGGCTTCATGAGGAGGACGCTCTTGTCCACAGCACGGACGGCGCACAGGGAGCCCGGGGAGGCTCCGATCCGGAGGTGAGTGTCAGAGGCGGGGAGGCCCTCGGCCGGTGAGAAATGCAAGTCGACCTGCAACCCCAGGAAAGGAGTTAGAGGAGCTACTTCTCCAGGTACCTTCACACTCTGCCTCGCAGCACAGCCCAGTCCTGGAACCGCCTCACAGCTCTGCCAATGCCCCTGAACTCTGCCCTGCAGCCCCCGCTATTCCAGTCCTGGGCTCCCCACAAAGCCCTGCCAATGCCCCTCATCCCTGACCAATGCAATTCAAACATGACCAGCAGCGCCCCCATATGTCAATTGTGCCTCCATAATTCTGCCTATGCAAATTACTCCTGATGTGCATTCATCTCTCATATTCAATTACTGATCCATGGTCAGTGCCCGATGGGCTCATGGAGCCATTGAACATTTCCTGAGTCTTCCTTGAAATTTGCAATTTCAGGTTCCACAGGTGGGCCATTGTCCATGGGGAGAATGTGAGTTATAGAAACCGGATGCTCACCTTATTGGCAAAGCAGTTTTCAATCTTGAAATCTTCGGAATTGGCGATAACGTCCCCGCTGGGTAAAGTGATGTATACGAGTACCCGGGCCAGGGGGGCGATATCAGGCTCCACAGGGAGCCTCACCTCAAATACCTGGATATCTGGCAAACAGAGACGGGGGGCAGGGGATAAGCTATAGAGAATGAGCTCCAGGGCCACACATTTCCCTAGGCTCCCTCATTATGGCTGCAACATCAGCCACCCTGAAAAATTCGCTATCCAAGGGTAAGAGTTTTGGCGCATACTTGAGGCTTTGGACTCTTACTGCAGACACCCGGTGT